AACCAGCCTTGCGCAGTGGAAAAATGTTGTCTCAGGCAGGCATGCAGAAACGCCCATCAAAAGCAGGTCACTGTGTGACCAATGTGGACGTCAATATGCGAGCATTGGTTTAGTGAAGGGCTGTTGGAAAATGTTGGAACTCTGCTCCGCGTGCGACCTTGCTCAGAACCCCTTGTGTTCAGCCGCGCACAAAGCTCAATCGAGCCTTGGCGCTACCATATATCCAAGCCTGAAAGCACCGAAGCGCTTGCAATGCTCATCTCGAAAGCGCATCATCGGCCCATCCATTCAAATTGTGTCAGCTCTAGTTGCAATAGTTGTGCTATGCTTTCGACTCCTTGAAGCGTTGTACTTCAGCTTTGCTACCCAACCTCAACTCTGAGGCTCTATGGATCTTTCAACTGCATCATCTATGACCATGTCTCTGTCTGTCCAGAGCCCATACGCTCTGTCGACGGTCCAGAGGCTGCTGCTTGCTTGTTCTCGAGGGCAGTCAGGAGTCAGGAAGTTGACTCTGAGCAGAGGCATTTTTGGTGGTTCTCTCCTGAGGCCATCCTCATGGGAGTCTTGCTATAGCATCCCTTTTCAACCTTCACGAGTTCACTGATTAGCAAACGTGCCTGAACCAATTCTGTACTACCTGGATGCATGATCATCCATTCTACTCTGCGAAAGGGCCTCGACCTTTGACCGTTGAAATCGGAAAGTCAAGTCTTACTGCAGCACTGGATCCTGCATGCACGGACGGAAACTGTGACCTTGCCTTTCCTTGCCACATGCACCCGTGCAAGTTTACCGGTAAGATAACTCAATGGCAGAGGCGCAACTGAGTTGCACATAAGACTTTTACCAGATCTGTTACGACTTATTGTGGTATCGGTAGACACATGTTTTGCGCCTCCGACGTTGATTTCAACATAGTACGAAAGAGAAGACAGCAACCCTCCTGCGAGCATTGAGGGAAGAGACGATTGAGCTGGCAGGTTCCCTGCGCTCTCTTCGGCCCAACCTGCGATGGTGCTCCGGATCAACAGGGATCGTTTCATGAGGTTCTTCCTTCTGAGGTGAGGTCGAGCTCTTAATCTTGCTATGCAAGTTGTGCGGGCCATTTGCGGCTTTCAGTTGCTGTCTGCAGTTGGTGTAGCTAAACTTATGTTCGAGATTGCTGAAGCTGGGGTAATACCATAGGGGCATTTATCGGTTTGCACGTCGCACCCTGCTAGGAGGCCAAGGTTTCATTGTGCGAAGTCTTGGGTTGGACTTTGCATCGAGGCTTTGAAGCTTGGGCTTTGGGCAATCCTGTTTGGTATGACTTCGAGCCTTTGATTGGGCGGCGTGTCCAGCAATGGCTAATTATGAGCCCAACAAGGTCTCAGACGCTGGGGTTGGCAATAGCTTTGCGGGTTTCTGTTGTCCTGGCAGTTACCACTTTGAGCACGGAGGCTTCGATGTCGTGCTGGAGAAGCATCGCATGCCGGAGCTTGAGGCAGCCTTAAGAGCAAAGCTCATTGAACAACTTTCTGCTTCCGAGTATGGAATAAAGGAGTGTAATCCCTATATAGCCTCTATATAATTTGCTGTTATTTTCCCTACTAAGAGCCAGCAAGAAAAGAGTCACAACGCGGGACGTTTGCGGGACGTTTGCACCTTTTCTACCACACAACTTGCATCAAACTCTGGAGCAGTCCGCTGGTGCCAGGAAGGAGATTGGATTTTGTGGCGCAATATGGGTGCCTACACTTCAGCTGCCGCTTGCCTTATGATTGTGCAAGCAGCGTTAAGACTGTTGGTGGAATTGTTGGTGGACTTGTCATGTCTTCTACTGGTATCTTTCTTGTATGAGCTTGTGCAATTTTGAGTTGACGGTATTTCGTGGTTGCTATCCACACATCCCCTTGAAGTCGCAAGCTAACCCTGGGAGTGTAGAGAGAAGAGAGCTACGGCTGATTTGAGATGTTGCACGACATGAAGGAGCAATTCAAGTCTCATGGCATGTGGGGTCTGGTATCGAGGCCGGCTGCAACTTCAATGGATTTCCACTGGCGCTGTCTTGGCACTACCGTCTGCCTGTCCCTGTTCCAGCTGTGATTCTGATTGGTTTGATAGGTTGCCAGGCAATGCTTCTGGATGACGAGTGCTGGCGGCCATTGAGTGGGAACCTGGAAGTTGATCTGAAATGAGGGCATCCTCATCCCTGCTGCATTCCCGCAACACGGGAAGGTCAGGAGCCCCATGTGCCAGGCATGGCCGCCTACGACGCGGACCGCGTGACAGGCAGCCGCTCAGAAGCAAGGGATGCAAGGAGGGAGCATGAGGCTACTGGCCTTGATTAATCATCAGCCGCCTTGGAACGAGTTCACAGTACTTCCACTTTTGTCTGTTCTATTTCGAGGAACAGTCTGGGTTGGGTGGAACGGTGTCTCTGAAGCTAGGCTCGGAGCCCTGTGCAGGTGGATACCTGGACTGAAACCTGATTGCCCGCAGGCCTGGAGGAGACGGCGCAAAGACGCCAATGTGTATTGCTTGCCATTGAGTCGCGTCACAAGCAAAGAAATCTGGCGCAAGTCTTTACAGGCAATGCACGGCTCTAGCCATCGGTGTTAGTGATGGTATCTTCACATGATTCCCCTGCTCTTGTTCTGAAAGGCAAGGCCCTGCGCTGGGGCCACAGATGATGGGCACATGTCCCGGGTGGCCAAGGAAAGTGGAGCCAAAAGTCTTCAATGCGGGCTTGATGAGGGATCCAAAGAGGTTTGTTCTGCAGAGTACTCAAGAGGATTTTTGTAGGGGTCTCGTGGAGGCTTCACCTCTTCTGCCACCTGGCCAATTCCTTAATGCTTTAACGTTTTCGGCGCCTGTGGGTCTGACCTGAGATGCCGAGGCATTGGCAGCATGCACAGGGCTCACGGTATCCCCAAGTAGCAGGACGTCAATTTATGGGGCTGCATGTGAAAAGAAATGTCATCTCAGCAACACAGGCCAATAAAACCCATGCGGCAGCTGCCTTCTGGAGATGCGGTGATGCGTGCTCGGAAGGACGGCATAGGCCGTCAGGACGCGCATTAATCCATAGATGTAAGGATAACTGGAGCTAGAGACTTCTGGTGGACATTGCCCCTCAGCTGATTCCCGAGCACCTCCCGCGCCTTCAGTCTCCTGAGAGAGACTGGCATCGCCCATTTCTGCACCAGGAAACGAAAGCACTGAAGGAAAACTAAACCGCCCCCCCTCGTGCTGCTTGATTCCAGCCGATTTCGCACATTGTTTGACAGCTGTAGTTCCACCTGAGCACATGATTTGCATGACCCATCTCAACTGAAGCACACTGGCTTTGAAACTCAATTGACATGTGATGCATTTTGTTAGATCAGGATCCCCAAGAGACAAGGTCCTCTTCTCCAAGACAGTAGCCAGCTCTGTTTTCGCGAGCTGGTGCAACCGCGCAGACAAATTGTCACTTGTCCTCTTCTAACTTGTACGCCTTGTGAGAACTGGCAATTTATGGGTGATGCCTCAGATAGGAGCTGGCACGCAATGTCGGCTTTTGTGTTTGATGTGGTTTTTTCTTGACGCTCCTGGCTCCCAATGATGAGCTTATGTCGGGCTCTTCTGAAGACCTGAGCCGTCCTCTGGAAGCAGATGCCAAATGCTCACAGCTTCAGGTCTTCACTTGTTCTGTGACCATAGGATCTCATAGTGCATCAGTGCGCAGTAGCCACGCATCTCGTTTGGGTTCAAGCCTGCGCTCACTGGAGATCAAGTTCAAGTTCGCAAGCATGTCTTGTTCTGCGGTCTATGACACAGGGGTCAGGAGTTGCTCGCCTGGCGGTTTGCAGCCCCATACCATGTGGGGCGGCTTCCTGTCCATGGGGTGCGGTCGCCAGAGGTATCTGTAAAGACCTGATGCTATGAAAAGGTCACTAGTTGGACACCCTGTATGTGGCGACCTCACATGTGTCCATGGCTATGGAGAACTGGCCATGGCTTGCTGATTTTTCACTACTTGCAGACGGTGAATAAGCCCTGCTGCGGGATATTGCTTCGGACATGATGGAATGCACAAACGTTCCGTTTGATTAGTGAAGAAGATGGATTTCCGCGTCGGGCCTTGCAATACCTGAACTAGTCGGGCGTTTCTCAGTGTTATTCAAGTCCATGTATGGTGAAGGAGTGATGTGGAAAGCTTTAGCTTTGGATGAGAAACTCCTGCGTGCCGCTCAAGCTGCAGAGGGGGAACTCTGGCATCAGGGGCGGAAGAGTTGTTGTGTTCAGGCTCAACGAGGTAAGATAAGATTTTTTGCAGGCAATGAGCGAATTTCTTGGTTGCGGGGTTAATCATCAGACAGAGTTCTAATGCTTTCCCCCTTGCAGTGCTTGGGCACCTGTACAGAGAGACAAACCCATACAACCATGGGAACAAAGCTTCGGTCAAGTCAGGGTTCACAGGTTTGAGGAGCAGAGGGGTCGTGCTCACCCGGATGTTTCAAACTTCAAGCAGCACCGCTGTGTAAGGTACACCAGTACAGCTGGCCGAGACAGACTCCAACACGGAAAACTCTCTCTCTCTCTCTCTCTCTCTCGCTCTCTCTCTCAAATCTTTGAACTTCAGCTGAATGTCAAGCACTTCAAGCACGTATCTAGCTCTGCGTTCTTCAGTACAGTCCACTCGAGGCATTGAACGTGGCTAGAAACATTTGTTCAAGAATCGTGTGAACATCCTGCGATCACTACCAACAACTGCGCCGCCGCCACCACCGCTGCCGGCGCCGACAACGACAGCGACAGCGACAGCAACAGCAACCACAACAACAACAACAACAACAACAACATCAACGACAAGGACAACAACAACGACAACACTAGCAGCAGCAACAACGTCCTCAACGACAGGGATTGGTCGCCAACACCTGAGAGACCACTCCTTCAATTTGCTATGAAAAGAAGCGAAAACTGCTGACTTCTAAGAACCCAGGCATCTGCCATCCGTCTATAACGTCTAGCGACCGGCTCTGAACTTCTGCCCTTGGTGTTCACGGGTCCTTGCTGCATAACGCAGGCGGCCTCAGATAACCGCAGCAAGGCTGCCTGGAGGCTTGTGGCTGCAGAGGCATTCCGTGGAGTGCTTTTTTGTTTTCAGTACAGTCAGGTGTTTGATGTGCTCCACCCACCGTGCATATGTCAAGCATGTGGATTCTCGCTTGGTTTTAGCAGGCTGCATGAAACATAAAAACTGACGCCTCGATTCTGTGCTCCAACTTCCCTTGGGTGTTCGATCAGCAACCCCCTGGCAAGGGATCATAGACAGAAGGACGCACATAAACCTGGTTTCTGAGGTCTTGTGCCCATTCTGACAGGCACACCTGCGAGTTGGCAATGCCGTGGAAGCCATCCAGAGCGCATCACAGGCAGGTTGGCTACTTCTGCAGATGAATGAGGCTGCCAAGAGGAATCAGGAAGGTCTTTGTGACGTTGACTCAGCACCGGATGCACACTCCTTAGCTGAATCTCCATAGCTTTGGGCCAGGCTCAAGTTGACTTATCCTCAAATTTTCCCGATGACGTGACACGTGCAGAACTTCTCAAGAAGTATGAGTTTGAGCCGCCTTTTGCATGGTGTGATGGCATGTATTGCTTGACTGGTTTGAGGCCATCAGCCTTTTTCAGCAGCTGAACCTGCGGCAGGAGCAGGCCCTGCAGACTGAAGGGGTGGTGTCAGCGACTCAAGTGGAATGCCTCCCAGCCTGCTCCAATCCAAGGGCTGGTTGAAGAGCTGTCCATAAAGGCAAAGAACATGGGAGGTATTGTTTTCAATGGAATACTTGTAATCATGGACAATTTTGCAGAATCGCTACAATCGACTCGATGGAACATGGCTTCTAGAAATCCTCGTCCTCTCCAAGCTGGCAGTTGGCAGCCACGACAGCGCTCCTGGATGGCTTGGTGCTGAAGCAGGCAGGATATATGGGGCCCCCAACATGCACCTTTAAATGACAGAACATGATAGTATTCCTGCCCGA